GGCAGGGCAAAGCAGGCCGCGCGCGGCAAGGCGTGGGGTAACGCAGTAACTGTAGTCGATCACTAGGTAATGGTGGGCCCGAAAAAAAACGGTCCTACGGACCTACTGCTCTGATTTCATGTCAAGAACTAACGAGCAGGAATGAGTTCACTAGCAAGGAATCAAAGTACAAGTACCAAACCCTAAAAGTGTTGTACTTTATACAGGCCACCCCACTACAGCCTACAAACATATAAATAGGTTTTGACAATACTTGGTCATGGAGATCACCCTTACCCTCATGGTCCATGCCTGCCTACGCATGTCATGAAAAACTGTTCACTTCATGAGAAAAGTTGGATACAAATACAAACCCTCATCTAAGCTAACAAGCCATAACACTTATAATATAAAATAAACAGCTATATCAAGGACGCAGTATGCACTACAAGCAAGAAGCAAGTCAGGGCGACATTATAAGTTAATTCAAGCGTGCATGGATGCATCGCTGCAACTCATGCAAAAGAAAGTACCGCAGATTAATATTCTTCACTCTACTCTCCAATCTAGGCTCCTAAAACAAGAGGATCATATCCTTGTTGTCAGCGAGCAAGACTGGAGCAGAGCTGGGTCGCTCATCCAGGTCAGTGAGCAAGCACGTCAACCAGCGGCTCTTCAACAACTATGGCAACATCGTAATTCTCTGCCTCATCGCTCGATGGACCAATAGTCAACGCCGGATTCGACATTCTACGATCCAACATAGGGCCCAGGCTAAAGCAATAGCCATAAGTTGACCTGCGAGTCTCATTGTCGTCCGGCCACAATGTGTCAGTGTGCCTTGTAAGTCGAACTAGCTCACGTCCACCAGGCACAAGTTTCATGCTAGATGTATTCGCCAAGTAGCGCGCTACTTTCTTAGCGGACGTCCAGTGAATGGGACGGTGTCTCCAAGTCGCAACAAAGAGAACCAGGATGGTGAGAGGGAAGGCAAGGTATGGGCGAGTGCAAGTCATCATATGCACGAGACACTCCACCAGCTCTGCGTACATACCACCAAACTCAGCCGGCTCATTGGGACAGGAGCCGCCCCACCAGCTCTGCGTACTAATTTTGGTCGATAACAGAGACCAAGTCGCCGACGTAAACAAGGATAAAGAACATCATTTGCCCTGTGTGAACGAAGAGAGCAGGGCCAGCCGGGGACGAGAAGAAGCCGAGGTCATCGAGAGTAGTACGCAACGTGTTGTGCCACTATCGGGGAACCTAACGCAGACCGTAGACTGGCTGTTGCAGGCTCCAGTTATTACCAGGAGAGAAAGAGCCAGTGAAGGCAGTAGGAAGACAAAGCAAGATCTGCTCATGCTAACTGCCTTGTAGAAAGGTATTGGAGAAGGCAAACGAGTGCGACTTGTAGTCACGCTAAATTAAGATGTGCAGCAGTACCCAAAGATTGGCCTTCTTCGGGGTGGGGACGAAAGTCTCGAAGAAGTGTGCTCACTCACGCTGTGGAAATCCTCTCGCCACGTGGAGCATCTTGAAGACAGGCGGCGAACCATGTGGTTGCTTCACCTTGAAGATCCACAAATAATCAACGACAGTCGCGCCAATAAGGGGGCACCGACATAGGTGCCTTTGGACCTCGAAGATGCCATTTCTGCGTCCATAGCTGCTATCCGCTGAGAGAACCGCTTACCCGAAATTGCCTAAGCATAAGTGCGAAGAGTTGGGATGTCAACATGGTCAGGGTCACTCTTAGGAGCTTGTAGCATGGCAAAGGAGGCGGGTAGAGGCAAAGTCAGTGACGGCGGCAACAAGAGCCGAGATAGACGAAGGCGAAGTCGTAGGGCCAACCATAATAAAGGAGAAGACACGGGAGACAATAGGGTGAGGATCAGAGAAAGGTGGACGAGGGACAGTGAAAGACAACGCAGGATGGAGCGGAAGAACTGAGGGAGCCGGAACACGAGGAAGGAGAGTACTGGGGTACATTTATTGGAGGTGGGGAAATATGACGAGGCACGAGCACCGAGGGGATAATGGTGCTAGGGAGTGGAGCCAAGAAACGGAGAAGGGAGCAAAGGAGGAGACAGATGTGACCGAGGAGGAGAACGAGCTGGAGGTGAGTTCAGGGGGGGATATATGAGACTGTAAACAGGGAGAGACGTAAGCGATCTGTTGAATGAGAAGGAAAACCAAGGCGATTAAGCGCAGCCACCTGCGGTGACGACTTCTGCTGCTGCTGCTGCTGGTAGATTTGCGACCCTTCGCCGAATGCTGCAGGTGTACAGAGGCAAAATCTTCTACAGCAGCACCCATACAACCAGAACATCCAACGCCAGCACCATGGCCCAAAATTGGTTTTAGGGCACCCTGGCTAATCAGAGTTTCACCCTGTCCCACTATGAAGGCCTAGGGTAAAAAATTTCATGCGTTGAAAAAAATAGGCTAAACAAAAATTCTAGCCTGACTGAATTACTGTAAAAGACGCAAAACAACTGTTACCGACAGAGATAATTTGAGCTGGTGATTTAGTCAGTTAGAAGATTCCGTCGAATAGCAAGATTGGGGGTCCGAATTCTGATGTCAGCCCCTGCCACCGAAGGTTATGCGCATTTGGCCTAATTGCATTATATGTATGATTCACATGTTACACTCCTTGGTCAGGGAAGTAAAACTCGTACATTGTCTTTGAAAGGGTAAAAAAAACCACTAATTTGAAGGAAGGGTAACTGTACGGATAGCCTGCGCTGATCAGGGTAACTGAAAAAAGCGGCCTACAGAAATGGCAAAACGGGTATTTTACCCTAATATTTTGGGCCCTGGCCAGCACCCCCAGAGGTAGTACCTCCAAAACATGTACTACCAGATTCAGCATCCCAATACGAGCAGCTCTAGTAGCAACACCCTCTGAACAGTTATCAAGCTTCGCAAACCATTAGAAAAACTAAACTGTGTGTCTCGTTTTAGTAACATCAACACACCAACAGTGGGGTTCAAAGTAGAGGGTTATGAGAAAGCTCAACTTAAAATCGGACCATGTTATATTTAGCGAAGCAGATCGTATACTGGATCGGTTGTTGCCTAGAATCACGAAACCCCTGCATGTTCGCTTGGACGTTACGTACGTCGCACATAAGCAGATGTGGGCCGTCAGCATGTCGCTCTGGCGTTACATTGCACACGAGCAGTTCATTCAGAGACCCAACAACCAACCAACTGACCATGTCTGTTCTGGTAGCAGTGTCGATTTCTTCGCAGAAGTCGCAGCTGCTGGACGAAACTCATTCGCGAGGCCACTAAGGACGCGGTACAGATCGGGCGATTGATCGCCTCAGATCGTCCGATCAGGTCGGGTCGGATCAGATTGCATGAGATTGCCCCAATCTTAGGCAATCTGTTAATTGCGTCCCGAGCCGCGCGATCAGACGATGATTTTTGTAGAAGTAAATGAGAACAGCCGCGATGGCTCTCTGCAATTCACTCCTTCCTTCCCTGCAGAGTTGGCGACACCTGGCTAAATTTTGAATCGCGCAATTACAACGTAGCCCCTTTTGGGGGGCAGGCGCGTCTGGAAAGTCTCAAAACGCGATATCCAATGGTGCTGCAAAAATTTTCGGCAGGGAGGGTTATCTTTCGCAACTGTCGCCAAACCCCGCGATCTGAGGCAATCTGTCGATTGCAATCGATCGCAAGAGATTGCGACAGATCGAGACGATCGATCACGATCAATCGAATTTCTGATCGCAATCGGCAGATTGCCCCCGACTGAATGCGATTGCCTCAAAATAACCTTGTGGCTTCTTGGAAATGATGGATTGCCCCAATCTGACGCAATCGCACTCATATAGGGCCAATATGTACCGCTTCCTAACATCCTCTTGTTTGTCGTGAGCCGGGAGTACCCACCAGCTCCAGCTGTTCACAGTTGGTTTTCGATGGAGTTGATATTTTGTTTCTGCCTTCAGAAATCCCATAGAACAAAATGTATAGTTCCCGCCATACGTACAAATGATGCTCACCTCCTGCATGCAAATTTGCCTATTACCGGATGAAAATCTTGCACCCGGTTGGTTTTGTTCCGTGAAGTTGCACCCTATTTACAAGCACCTCAAACAAGTTGCCACCTAAATCAGCCAATACTAACAACAGAAACCGAGGTTTGACTAAAAATACTGAAGTCAAACAGTCAAGAGAGGGTTACAATTGCTTTATATGATCCTTTGTTGCTTGGTGCGAATTGACGAAACTATCGCGAAGTTTAAAAACCATTTATTAGCTCAGCGCACAAGGCAAAGTTGGGTGCGCCAAACGAGCATTATTTGTACTCAGAAGCTGTTATTTCAGAGAACCGATTGAATTTGGAGTAGGTAGTTCGGGCTCTATTTCGATAACACTCTGTATGCCTGTCGGAACGAAGATGGATTTAGAAGTCACTCTCAGAAATAAGGGCTTCTCAGATCTGTAGCTCAGCCAGGTAGGGAAAAATAATATGAAATGCTTGCCCCTCATGGCCCAGCTGGCGCTTGACTGTCGCCCTGCTTTCTCGGGCCTCCTCTGCCTTGTCGTGAGGTGACCTCTCTGGCATTCGTTTGCAGCAGACAAACTGCTAGGGAGTCAGGCGATCCCCCTGGCACAAACTTCCAGCCACGTCAGACTACACACTTCACCTCCCCTCCCGTCACCACCACCTGCGCCTTCCCCTTCGAGATTCATCTTCCCTGCCCACCAACTCCTCTTCCGCGCCCCTGTCCCCTCTTGTTCCCCTGTCCCCACGCCTCCTCCGCGCACACCCCCTGTCTCCCCCTCAACCCCTTCTGCCTATCCTCCTGTCCCCTTCATATTCACTTGCTTCTCCATTTCCTCCATCCCGCTTATCTCTCCGCTCCAACTCTCCAGTTTATCGCCCAGCACAGCTAAATCGCCAAGACGCCTTGAAAGCTTCAGTAACCGCTCCAACCGTTATCTGAACGTGTCAACGAACTACGTTTCATAGGTCGTTTTCATTCCCACGTCGCACCATGGCGCAAATCGTCAGAGTCATCACGCTTCTCGCTCTCGTCTCGTTCTGCGCCGCTGTAGTGGTGGACGGTAATGCCGATTTGATCAAGGCTAAGGAGGCGCTCAAGAAGTGGGGCGAGTACAACACGTACATGACCCTCCTCCAATCATCTGGTAACCTCTCGACCCTCTTATCCCCCCCAAGTCCTGTGTAAAAGCCGTCTCTTGTTGTGCTGCATTACCTAGCTTGTCCAGAGTTCTCTTTTTTCTTTTATTTTCTTTTTCCTCGTTGAACTTAAGGAACTCATTTTTTCCGTATCTTCCCTTTTTCTATTCAGGTTTCGAGCCCATCCTCGCGCGGTACATTCAGACGCAGCCCGTAACCCTCCTGGTCCCCAACGACAAGGCCTTCGCCACCCTCCCCATGCGCGTCAAGGCACAGCTTTCCGGCTCCAAGCTCATCAAGCTTCTCGAGTTTCAGATGATTCTCCAAAAGCTTCCCTCCGGATTCCTCAAGATGGCCCAGCCCGGCTCGAAGTTCCGTACCGTGTACGGCGTAACGCTCGTGAAGCAAAAAGCCGCGCTCAAGAACACCGTGATTCTCGGCGCTCCTGGCGCGACGATGCCGTCGCAGATGGCAGTGGTAACCCGAGGCGACATGGCGGCGGCGAAGCTGATGCTGCTGTGCCTACACGGCACCAACAACGTCATTCTCCCTCCCAACGTCTTCTTCTAGACACCGCCCTGGTTTTGGCGTAGTGGGAGTTCCATCAAGAGTGTCCATCGTATCTCCGTTCTCGACCTTCATGAGATAGTGATCCTGTCTTTTCAACCACGCCCGTTGATTCTTTTCAACCCGCCCATACTGACCAACAACGCCAGCCGCGCTGTCTCATCCGTCTCTTCTCGGGATATGGAGATTCTTAATGTCACAATTATCATCCCTCTGTCCATGGCTCCTCCGGATATTCATGAACCCCTCGCTCCGTCCGTCCTACCTCGTCCGTCACGCATCCGCGGTTGTGCGATTCCTCGCTCATGTCAGCACTCGAGCTAGACTTACCCAAGGGGTTTCTTTTGAGAAAACTAGATCTGCCATTATTTATTCATTCGTTTGCCATTAACAGCCACAGGGGTTTGTTCAAAACTCGTTCTATTATTTTATTTATAGTATTTGTTTATATTTCAAATGTTATCAAGTGCACGATTCTAATGCTCCTCACCAGTCGTCCTCTAATAATTTGCTGGGCTGAATGCCAGCAGGCATGCTTAACTTCTGGCTTTCAATTGGTGTGGTGGATGGATACCGTCATACCCCGGATATACCCCCATGGGAGGCACTAATAAAGCGTGTTTTTTTTAGGGGGTGGGCTTAAAATATAGTAATTTTATAAGCGCCGGGGCTTATACAATGACATATATGAAATCTAGTTGTTTTCACTTCAGAATGTTCATCTTGTCATTGCGATTTCAATCGAGTCAAGATCATAGTGGGTGTGAAGAAGAATCTCGCGTAAGTTAGCAAACTGCCAACACACACAGTCAGAATGAGTCATTTCGCCCCATGACAGCTCATTCTGACTGGACGCGCAGTCAAATGAGTCGCGCGAGGGTGGGGCAGTGAGTCGCGCGAGGGTGAAGGGTCGAAATTTTATCAAGTGAGGATGCAAATAGTGTGTTTCGCTACAGAGATTCCAGTAACTTTATAAAAAACTAATACAAATGGTGGCTCTTATAATACGTAAGCCTTCAGGGGGTGCGCTTATAATCGAGCACCGGATATAAGCGCCACACATCTATTAAAAGCGCCAGGCGCTTATCCGCGGGTGGCGCTTATATCCGGGGTATGACGGTATCTTGGGTGGACACTTGGCTTGCCCATAGCCTTGAGAAACACTCCAGGCAGTCAGACATAAAGATGGTAGGTGGATTAGTAAAATATGGGATTGGTGTAAGAAACAGAACCCTAACAAAAACACGTGTGAAAAAAGAATACGGTAAACATCTACAGTGCCTGTGGAAACCTTGGTGAATTCACTCGTCCACTCAGCCGACCGCCAAACCCGGATTTAGCGGCCAGGTCGAATTCCTCCAAAACACCCTGAAAAAGAGCAGCCTTGTTTCTGTGGGCGCGCTTCGCGGGAGCTTATGAAGGTCCCCCTAGTGTCCAGCTCGACAATATCAGCCTGTTGAGTCGACTCGACAAAGGTGAAACGCCTTATCCCTGTGCTTCAACACTTGGGTTGTGTGCCTGCCTGGATATGACTCACACCCTGGCGGCACAGCAAGAATGACGGCGTGAATAATCACCCGCACCAGCACAGCAAAAATGGCACGATGGAAATCACCCACACTAGCACAGCAAGAATGGCGCATATATACCACCCGCTCCAACACAACGAGATTCGACAGTACGTTATAGAAATTCAGTTTTCGAGTTATCTCTACTTCCGCTACCAAAACGCGTCAAAGGCCCACGTTGCTCAGGTCGTCTTCATTCCTACGCCGCATGATGACGCACGTCGTACTAAGGCTCCTCACGCTTCTCGCTCTCGTCTCAGTAGCCTGCGCCGCTACATCGGTGGACGGAAAAGCCGATTTAAATAAGGCTTTAGCGGCGTTTGACGGCGACGGGCAAGTACAACACGTACTTGTCGTTCTTCCGATCATCTGGTAACCTTTAAATCCTAACGTCCCAGCACATCCTCTCTTACAATCCGTCAGACCGTCTGCCTCATCACCCGTCTCGTTAATTTTCTCTTTATACCTCCAGTTTCCTCTTTCGTCTACTTTGTTTAACCCCTTTCGGCAACCTCATTATTTTCTTCGCTATTTTCTCCCTTGCTATTCAGGTTTACAGCCCGTCCTCGCGCGGTACATCCAGACGCAGCCCGTAACCATGCTCGTCCCCAGCGACAATGCCTTCACCACCCTCCCCGTACGCGTCAAGGCGCAGCTCTCTGGTTCCAAGCTCGTCCGGCTCCTCAACTACCACATGATTATTCAGCAGCTTCCCTTCAGCTCCCTCATGGAACAGCTCTAAGCTGTTAGTAGTTCTGAATGCTAAGTTTCAAGAGTCTAAATTAGCAAGGCAGATTTGGTAGCATGAATTCTGTAAATTTCAGAAAGCAAGAATGGCATACAAGGGACGAAAGACTACTGTTATACACATTCCTATGACTATGGCGCCTTGAGAAGTTCGTTCAGGCCGCCATATCACCTTTCTCTGCTGTCTCCAGCTAGGAACAGAATATGTACAAGCAATGATAGCAACCCTATGCTGGATCCTAGCTGTTTATATAGAAATATGCAAAGTACAATCATGAGATGGTTCTAGAAGAGCACTAGCTGACTTGGTCTTCTACTTCATGATGATGGTACTTGGGTCTTGTGGTGCTGGAACGTATTTACAGCTGTATGGCATGGCTAGTTGCTCTGCTGTCGTAAAGATGCTCAGATACTCTCTTCTCTGCTGCTTTGCTGGTTGGGAATTCACGTGTGCTTTGAGAAATCCCGAAGCGCACATTTCAGGTTGGGATTTCCAACCTCGAATTTGACATTTCAGATTGGGTTTTGGCGAAAGTTACAAGTTCGCTAGTGAGCGAACTTTCCTGTGACGAGTTCGCCTTCGCCCTGTAACATTACTCCCCCCTCCAAGGGGCACCGTCCTCGGTGCACCAGCAGATGCAAAGTAGGCAGAGATAGCTCGTTGTGCATGCTCTAAGTCCTTCTCTGGAATCCAGAGATTTTCTGCATCATCATGCTCACGCCACTTAACCAGGAAATATCTGCCACTAGGTGTTGTTTGATGAGCAAGGATCTTCTCAACTTCGAACAAATCAGGGCTTGGAGTGAACATGGGAGGACGAGATGGCTGAGAAGTAGGGAGAAAACGAGCTGGAGGGTCATGATATGGGCGTAGTAGCTGGACATGGAAGACTGGATGGATGTTGATGTGAGGAGGAAGTTTCAGACGGTATGTGAGTGGAGAGAGGACCTGTGTGATTGTGAAGGGACCAATGAAGCGAGGTGCGAGCTTGCGGGTGAGGCCTTGAGTGAGTAGGGGCAGATTTGTGGTTGAGAGAAGTACTCTGTCTCCTACATGAAAGCGGATGTCACGTCGGTGCTGGTCTGCATAGTGAATCATGCGCTGCTGTGCCCTGGAGAGTGAGGTGCGTGCTGCTGCTATGGCTTTCTCTTTGTCCTTCAGAAACGCCGTTGCTGCAGTATCACGCTTGGGGCTGTGAACCAGTGAGGTAGGAGTGCGAGGGTTCTGTCCAGTAGCTAGGTAGAACGGGGTCTGTCCAGTAGCAAGGTTAACGGTGCTGTTGTAGGAGAACTCGATTTCTGGCAGGTGGGTGTCCCAATCGTTCTGGCGAGCGTTGACACATGCACGCAAGCCATCTTCCAGAGTTCGATTCATTCTCTCGGTCTGCCCATCAGACTGAGGGTGGTAGGCAGTTGAGAGGCGAATCTTGGTACCCATCCTGTTGAAAAGGGCCTGCCAGAATCTGCCAACGAAACGGGAGTCACGGTCGGAGATAAGGACAGAGGGAATACCGTGAAGACGTACTATTTCTGTGAAGAAACGTTCAGCAACGTCTTCGGCAGTGGCAGTGGTGGAAGTGGGAATGAAATGGGCCATCTTTGTGAGTTTGTCAACCACAGTGAGAATGGCGTTGTGATGGGTAGCAGTGAGAGGTAAATCAGTGATGAAATCAAGGGTGACATGGCTCCATGGTGTCTCTGGAATTTCCAGGGGATGTAGGAGGCCATAGGGAGGGGAATTGCGAGCTTTGTTGCACTGACAGGTATGGCAGCTGCGCACGTAGGAGCGGACATCACAGTAGATGTTAGGCCAGAAAAAGTTTGATGTGATTGCAGCCACTGTTTTGTCCACTCCGAAGTGTGAATTCTGATCGTGATGCTCGCGTAGGAGGAGGAGACGGAGTTTACGGTCAGAGGGGACACAGATAGTGTGAGAATCTGCTTTGTACCAGAAGGGAGGGTCAAAGTAGTATGCTTTGTCGGAAGGGGCAGAATGGAGGTAAAAGTTATCATGACGGTATCCCTTGGAAAATTTCTTGGTGAAGTCTGGGTCCCATGTCACGCTGCCGATCACAGCAAGCTGAGAGGTTGGGGGACGAGAGAGAACATCGGCAGGGTTTGTACGGCCAGCACGATACTCAATTTTCAGCTCTGGAACGTACTGCTCAAGAAATTCCATCCATCTTGCCTGCCGTGGTGTGAGATGAGGTTGCGTCTTCAAGTGCTGCAGAGTGCAATGGTCCGTCAAGACCGTTACCGGCTGCATGTGAACGTAGCAACGCCACTTCTTGATAGCGTTGACTATGGCCAGCGCTTCGCGGTCATGAGTAGCGTAGTTGCACTCGGCTGGTTTCAGCTTCCGTGAGTCAAACGCGATGGGCTGAAGGCCATGTCCTTGGTCTTGACACAAGATTGCACCTGTAGCAACTTGAGATGCATCTGTCCAGATGACATAAGGAAGGGAGGGGTCGGGTAGGACTAGGGTGGGAGAAGAGGTAAGAGCATGTTTGATGGTGGTGAAGGCTTCTTCCTGTTCAGGTCCCCAATGAAAAGGCTGCTGCTTGCGAAGAAGGTTAGAGAGGGGTGAGGTGATGGCTGCAAAATGGTTGATGAATTTTCTGTAGTAGTTGGCAAGGCCAAGGAAGGCTTGAAGGTCCTTGATGGAAGTGGGCTGGTTCCAGTTTTTAA